TAGGAAACAAAACTTCCAGAACACGGCCACACAGCCCGGAAGACCCACACCAGCCATCGTTGTTAACTTTGTTTACATTTGGGGGTTTATTCATTATTTTGGGAAGGTTAATTATTTAATAATGATTTTCATGATGATTTGATTGTTAGCTGCCCTGCACATTCATGAATGGGCAGCATACAAATAAGGTAAGTAAATAAATAAGCTGCAGGATTTATTTGATCTTCAGGATCAGGTTGTCCCATAGTGTCAATTTCTCCTGAGAGCTAGGGTCAAATTTTAATTTCTTTCCTAAAATATGCCAAACATGTCTTGCAGCTTTTAATGCAGGAAAACCCACTGACTTTAACTAAAACAGGAACCAAGTCCCTACCAAGATGAAAGGACAAGATATTGTAGTAACTTTCTAATTTTGCCCATGATATAGAAAAGACTTAAGACTTTGAACCTCTCTGCATCTCTACTAAGTGGATTTGATTCACTGAAGGGGGCCTTTTGTTGGTCTCCCTTTCCTTTTCTAAATCAATTACAACTTCTTCTTTTTTTTGGTAGCTGGCCCATTCATCACCATAGTTTGCTCTGAGATTTAAAAAACAATTATTTTGGTGCTGAGCTGACATCCCCCACCCCTCAAGCAAGTTTGAATTGATAACCTATGTGGTGTGTAAAATAGCCAGATGGCTTTTTCAGTTTCTCTGGTTCCTCTTCTCTCTGCTGTACAACAGCATGAGAGACCCTAGATTTCCAATACAATTGATCATGAAAGAAAGAAATCAGTGGTTGCTAGCTAGAAGCCTGTGTTAAAATGAGATTTTCTTAGGGACAACCAGCAGAGTATTCAGATGTGGCTGCTTTAATGGTCAAGAGGATTTAGTATTGACCATTAAGCGAGCTTCTGAAAAAGTACAGTTCTTCAAAAGATTCTGCTTCTAAGAAAGCGAAAGAATAGAATAAATGTAAAAAACAAGAAACCACTTTCCAGAATGTTAGCTTTAGCACTCAGTGTGTAGCACAACCCATTACCATGCTCCAATTCTATTGCACTGCATGGTTCATCTCCTTTAAAGACAGTTTTACCCCATTTATACCAAGTGTTCTATTTTTCTTCCTTCCCTTCAACTCCACACCCTGCTTCCTCACTAGTTAAGAAGGTTACTAAACAGTTTACAGACACTGGTAATGGCAATTTTGGTTAGTGTTTGGAGGGAAGGGATCCTTTTCAAAAAAACGTTTAATGTAAATGTTAAATATCTTCATGTTCAGCGTTCAAAATGAGCATATGATGTTCACTGAAGCACTGACTTACGAATGCATGGATCCTGTTAAAAGGGCTGCTTTTGTCAGCAATTCTCTGGCAGTCAAGTTGCTGAAAACACAGAGCTGCACCCTCTCTTGCTAAGAGATGCTGTCATCTGCCAAGACTAACAGTAGTAGTCAGGAATGAAAGGGATCCAGATTGCTGCCGACATCCTCTGAAATCTGAGTTGAGTTAGTTCTGCAGCTATCTATTTGATTCAAGTGTGTCTGTTAAGTCTTCCTAATAAAATCCCTATGTCTTATTGTTGGTAGAGTGAAAATGTAATTTGTTCAGCTGTTGCACTGACTGCTTTAGGGTTTGAACATACAGATATTTAAGCTGTCATCCTCAATCAATTCCATATCTCCAATGTGGGGAAGGACAGGGAGCTTTAAGAAACAGAAAGCTATATGGAAGGAGAGAGAATACATGAAGGACTGTTTTGGTGCTCTTTTGATCTTTGATTAGCTGTTTTCTCTTTTCCTTTGTGCTTCCTTCTTTCAGCTTGACACCTTCCAATATTTGAGAGTGAAACAAAAAAGTATATTCTGTACTAAATAGTATACATAGACTGGAAATAGGAATATGAAAAGCAATCAGTTTGGTGTATATAAAATCCCTCTAAGGCAGCTAGCTTCCTTTCAGAAATTGTAAGGCAATACTAAGCTAGAACTTGGGGATGTTTTAATGTGGATTTGTGTACTAGCCAGTGGGTTAGTATCAATGATATAAATAGCCACTTTTAATTACATAATTCTTTAAAAGGAGATAAGGATTTTTCATGTAACCTTTAGTGCTAGCAGAAGTATTATATACTGTAGATGTATTAGCTGGTTGCTGTAGAAATAGAATTATGTTGCCAGACCAGGATCTGGCCTCAATTCAGTACACAACAGAAGTAAAGTGCAAAATGTATATGTCTAATAAGTACTGTTCAGTTTGTATGTATTGTATGTTTAAGCTGATTGCTCATTATGGAAGGCTTCTCTGAACATGTAGCTAGTCTGACCTTCCCTATGTGGCTGCAATTTCTCAGATGCAGCAGAAGTTCTGGTTCAGAACTCCTGAGATTCTTTTCTATATGTTACTGCGCTTATACCTGTTTGTTTTATGTGCTTCTCCTCAGTAATTCCAGGCACCTAACAGACTGTTTACAGACAAACATTGTTTAGGCTATGAGAATATAATGCTACAGCCATTTTCATAGTAGAATACACTATATTTTGTCATGTTAATACATTACCTGGTTCTACTCAAATAATATATTTTATTGCCTCTTGACATGTCTGCTTTTTAGATATGATCTCCATTTTTTTACTCTCATCTGTTTAGGGAAAATGGATCTGATTTATTATTGGAATCTTCTAAGCGTTTTCCACTTTTCTGAATTGTTCTGCACAAATACTTTTGGTCATCTACACTATTAAGTTGGAATACATCATTTTCTCAGATGTGACTCCAGATAGTCTAGAGTATAGCCATGTTCACTAGGCAACTGTGAATGTTTGACAATCCTGTCTTTCTCTCCAAATGGGATGATCAAGCTAAAATGCAATAAAAATATATAAAGAGAATGAATAAAAACAACCACATGAAAACATAATAAAAATATGACTAACATTATTCTTAAAAATAAGACTCACTCTGAAATAAGTGTCCTTCTTTCTAGATCACAGATTGACTTTTGGTTCCGCTCCTGTGGTAGGTCTGGCTTACTCACAGATACTTTTTCTCTTATTTAGACCCTAACATCTGCCTTGTGCAATGAAGTAGACAGGCCCAGTCCCTATGGATCCTTGTATTCCTCAGCACACCCAGGCCATGATGCAGGGGGCATGGCCCTGTTGGCTCTGGTTGCCGCTTACAGTGGGTGGCCAACATGGAGAGATGGAGGCTAAAGCACAGAATTCGGTGTCCTTCAAGCCAAAATAGAGCACAAACAATCCAGGGACGTGAGTCAGCAGCACCCTGTTTTGTTTGCAGCTTGGATAGGTCAGACAGCAGCGTCTGTAGCTAATGCTGCCTTGGCTGATTTCCAGTATTGAGAAAGCCTGAGAGACTTTTTGACCCCTCCTGAGGAAACAGCACTAGAGCCTGTAACATCATTGAACAGCAAATCAGGGATTTTGAATGAGAAAGACGGTAGGTTTCTGGGCTGCTGGTATGATGAGGAAAAGGCATTGGCCAAGGGACATAATACGAAGGGTGTAATTGAAAGTTCATTGTTCTGATGGTGAATACATGGTGACAAAACTGGGCACTAAGTGTTGGGCACAATAAAGCATTGGTGATGGTAATCAGCTCTGCAACACACATGATGCCTCACAGATTTTAATTTAATAGGTTGAACAGTATTATCTTGATATTATGGCATAACTTGACTATAGTATACCAAATTCTCTCTTAGTGAACTGTTAGGGGATTTTCATTTTTCTTTCCTGTTTTCAGGAATTTTCCTTTAAGGCAAGACTTCCAGGGGGAATGGATCAGCCACAGGTCACTTTTATCTTTAAGTCAGGATATTTGTTGTATTCAGTACCTGTTAATTCATATACCTCCAATGAATTGAAGCCTAAGTTGTTTCTGAAACCAGTAGATCTTAAGAGTTCTAGTTCTAACAAGTGAGTATATTTTGAAGGTAACTACAGTCACCTTAGCAATATAGCTACAATTATGTGCAATTACTTGGGAGTAAGTCCTATTTAATTTATTGAGATTTACTTTAGGTAGATAGGTAAAGAAGTTGGCTAAGCAAGAATGAACTATTCGGATGGCTCATTCTAAAATACAAGTATATATTCTAATTGCTGTTTCTTGTTTCTTATGTTGTTTGGGTAGCTTTTATGTTGTTTCTTTTATCTTTTAGAAGGAATGAACTGCATGAACAAGAATCATGGTTGTGCTCACATCTGTCGTGAGACCCCCAAAGGTGGCATTGCCTGCGAATGTCGACCTGGCTTTGAGCTCACTAAGAATCAACGAGACTGCAAATGTAAGTATTTACCTGGGGAGCCTTTGCCAAAGAAGTAGCATTTGGTATATTTTAAAAACACTAATACAGAAATAGTATTTTATGGATTTTTAATAGAAGTGTACTGTATCACAGAAGAGAGAGGGCATCATAGAACTATAATTGCCAACATTAATTTGGGCAGTTGCATCCATGTACCCATATAGCCAATCATATCCTCTGTATATGTAATACACTGTTCTGATGAAAGAGAGACAGCCTTCTCATAAAAGAAATATCAAGTTTGCAATATTCACCTTATGACGGGACTATACATAGATGCTGCTAAAATAAATTAGCATTTTTAATTGACATGGAGTCTGAATTTATGTGCAGACACATTCACTATTCTAAATTCCGCTAAACTCAAAGGATTATGGAACAGTGACCAGGACAGAAAAACTTAAGTGCAATGCACTTCTTTAAAAAGAACAAGTTTTCATGCAAGAAACCAAGAAATGACACATAAGCATCATACTTCAGCCTGACCATTTTTCAACAGATAGCATTTATGGCTTGCTTTTCATCATTTTTTTCTTGGAAACTAACATTTATAGCATTTGTTTTCATTCTGATCTTTGACATATCACAATCATTCCCATACAGATTTCCAAAATTTTAGCATCCCTCATTTTAATTTCCTCCCATATTATTTTTTCCCCTGTTGGTATTGATGTAAGGTTAATCATGCTATACTTCTGGATGATTTGATGAGTGATTTTGAAGAGCATAAAGTTTTAGCTTAATCCATATTTCAGGAAATCTGGCAGCTTGAACCTGGTTTGGGCTTTGTTTGCATAACACACTGAATTCAAACCAGACAACCACATTTTAGCCTAGTGTCTTGTATGAACCCAAGCAGCTGGATTAATTCAATTAAAGTGATTTAGTTAGCTCTGCATTAGTGTATTGTGCAAACATAGCCTTTTGGTTAGCTGAGTAGGATGACGATATGTGGAAGTATTTCTTGCTCTTTGCTTCTTCTCTTACACCTCTCAGTGACCTGCAACTATGGTAATGGAGGTTGTCAGCACACATGTGATGATACAGATCAAGGTCCAAAGTGTGGTTGCCATGTGAGGTTCGTGCTACACTCTGATGGGAAAACATGCATAGGTAAGTGAGAGCTTTGTAAGCTTTGGTTCAAAGCGTGTGTGTGAAATTATAATTTAGGTAGCTTAGATTATACAATGTCAGTGTAATATCATTTACAACATTTGATTCAAATTAATCAAACACATTGTCATCATAACTAATTACCTCTGACCCCATAAAGCTACTGTGCAGGGAAGATAAGAAGGAAAAATACCCATTAAAATAGAACCTGTGGTGCCAAACAGCTTAAACTGATAATTCACTGTCTTTGATCCACCATAAAATCTTGGACATGAGAGAATAACATGGTAGACATCAGGTTTCTTGTTACTTCTGCCATCTCCCCCTCCATCTTTTGCTAGTAAAGGCTTTGCCCTCTGAGAGGCACAAGGGTTCCTACTGCTGGAGGAATCTGGCAAAGTGAAGAGAAACGGGGCTGTGCTCAGGCCTTCTCTCAGCCATTGTCCAGAGAAGGTTGCCAGTTTTTTATTGTGTGTTTTCATTGACAACCACTTTCTCTCCCACACACACACACACATACACATGCACATACATTCAGGCAGAGAAAACTCTCCTGATAAAATGATAGACCGAGGTATATCATTTGCTTCATTTCTAATCTTCTACTGCAAATTATATAGGAATAATATAGGATAATTTTTTTAAAATCTGGCAGAACTGTTCACAGGCTATAACCACAATGGTGGTTATAGTTCTCTGCTTCTTATTCCACATAGAAAGACAGACTTCCTCTAGGGAGTCTGCAAGGTACTTTTCTCCTTAACTGCTCGCTATTTGGAATGTACATATGGTAAGTATCTTTATGAGATGAAATGGACAAATCCAAGGATTTGGTCTGTGTGAACTTTGCATATCTTCCTTGGTATTTCTGATCATCCCATTTCTGAATACACACTTTATTGTAAAATGTTTATTTTATATGTATTGTAAAATACATAATATATTTTGCAATATTTTTAAGCTAAGAATTGCATTATAGAATTCAGAAAAATGCAGAATCAGAAGAATTATTGGGAACTGTTCTTTCAATCTGAATGGTTGGCCTTTGGTTCTAGTTGGAGGGGCAATATGGTAGGGGAAAAAGAAAAAAAAATATATGGAGCCATATTCATCATATGTATATATTTGAACCATAAATGCATAACAGCATCAAATGCTTATTCAGGATTGCATGTGCATGCTTGCTTCTTCTTTTACTTCTGCTTTTCTGAGCTGGGCTGTATAAGAAACATTTGTGTGTGGTATTTGTTGAGTTTCAGTGCACTGATTCAACATGTCCAGTTCTCATCAACAACACAAAATCCATGTTGAATTGCACAGACCTATCTATTCTAGGGCACATAGCAGATGTGAGGAATCAGGATGGTGGAATGAATGATACAGTCCACATGGAGAATTCTTTAGGTTGATTCTCTTTTTTTCAGGGATAATGTTTGCCATATATCCTGTTGAAATGCCAGACTGACATTGTAGGAGGTACTGACTTTCACTGTTCCAGTCCAAGTGTTATTTGAAGTTCAGTGCTCAGAGGACCAATTCAGTCATGCTCTGTCTCTAAGAATCAAACCAGAAGAATGATGAGATCTTCCACTGTGTTCTAAGAGCAGAACAGCAGCTTTTAAATCTGTTTTATAGCTGCAGTGTTAAGGGAGGGGAGTTTAACACTTTCCTCTATACTATTTTCTCACTGGAACCTATTTTTTCTTCTGCTTCTTCCCCTATGGAGAAAAACATAAATGTGCAAATTGTAGCTTCCCCTGTGGAACCAAAGTATTTTAAATTCATCTTTGAAAAAGGAAGCATCAAACTGAGATGAAGAGTTCATGCAGGTGTATACACATATATTTGTTTGAATTGCTTTTATGATTGTTCGCTGCCCAGAGTCACTCAGCTGAGATGGGCGACTGTAGAAATTTGAATGAACAAACAAACAAAGCACACTACGTACCTCAATGCTGTGTGCTTACAGTATTTGAATATGGAATTGAAGATCCATTCAGTTTATTGAGAATTTTTCCCCAGGTAAACTGGTATAGTAATACAGCCTTATATGAAAAATGCTGTCATGGGTCTTGCACTGCTGTGTCTAGCTATACAGAAAGGGCATCCATGGACTAGTTTGATCAACATCATCTAAATGCTGTTTACAATTGTCCTTTCAGCTGGGAAGAATCATTCCTACTTAGCTATGCTTCAAATTTCATAAGCAGACTATAGATATTTTTTTCTATTGGGCTAGATAGAAAAAATAATAATTAATAATTTTAATAATAATTTCTATTAGCAGATGGGATTGTGCTCAGTATGTTTAGGAGAACATAGGGGTTATAATAATGTACATTTTGGCTTAAATTGATAATGAGAGTTAGCTGAGTATTGTGCACATTTGGAATTTAAAGTTAATATATTAAACTGTTTTTAAGACAAATTGCTTTCAATTTCTCAGAGTTAAGTCAACAGAGAGGGTTCAGTAGTATCTGGAAGCTTCAGCTGGTGCAGAATGCAGTGGCGCGGGCAGTTATGTGTACTTCTAGAACAGCACATGTTACACCTCTCATCTGTGAGCTGCATTGGTTGCCAGTTTGCTTCTGGGTCCAATTCAAGGTGCTGTTTTTAACCTTTAAAGGCCTTCATGGCATGGGGTTGGGTTATCTGAGGGACCACCTCTCCCCGATTATATCTGTCCCATCAGATCTGGTAGAGGAGGCATGTTGCAAGTTTCGTGCACATTTGGAATTTATATTAAACTGTTCTTAAAACAAATTGCTTCCAATTTCTCAGAGCTAAGTCAACAGAGAGGGTTCAGTTTAAGGGGGGGGGGCTGCTACTAGCCCCTTCTTCACAGATAGCCCCATTCTGTCCTCAAAAACTTCCCTTGGTGGGAAGTTGTCACATGGCTATCCTGCTAGATCTAGTTAACAAAACCCTGGATCTAAAATTCTGCAGGTCGCTGAAGGAGCCAGATCCTCAGGCCATCAGGTACATGAACCTGGATTTGACATAACTGAACAAGCAAAGAAAACCCTACATCCTATCTTTCATCCTAGGTGCCTGATTTCTATTATTTTTAAAAAATACATTTCATATTAATATAAATGACTAACCAATAAACATAGCTTACAATTATTAAATTTGTATTTGTTAATCTCTAATGTAACAACATAGTTGATTGCATTTTCTGATTTCTTTTCTCTCACAAGTGTATTCTATCACGAATACTTACATCAAGGGAATTACAGAATTTTAAATGTGTTAATGAAGTCTATCATGTTCAAGGATATCTGCTGTCTTGCTTGACTGTGATATCCTCTGATCTCCTGGAAAGAGTTAGAAAGCTACCACTAGAACATAGCAGCCTGTTCTAACCAAAAAATTGACATCCTAAAGGTTCAATCTGAGAATGAGTGTTACAGTGAAATAATATCATTGGGTATTTTTGTATGTGTTGTGGAATAATAATACCAGACAGCATGCGTGAGTGCTTTACTGGCTTCAGATGCTTATGCAGCTTAACAGATTACTTTTATCCAACATAGAAAGTGATCAAACTAGAAATTACTGTAAATGTTTCTCTTCTTGTTTTGTTTTAATGGATTTAAAAACAGTTCACTTCAACTAAATCAGCTGAGTGGCCTGAGCCTCTGGGAAAGTACATACTTTTCATAGTACTTGCTGGAATCTAGACCTAGTCAAGCCAGCCTATGCGCTATCACTTGATAATATGTAAGAACCATTTTTATTTAACCATCCAAGTAATGATACTTAATTAGACTAATCTTGCCTCCTTGTGCCCTGAAGATTAGAATACTATAAGGGCTTCTCTGTTGAACTAGTAGTTGGAATACCACTGGCTTTTATTTCAAATCATTCATTTAGTACTATTATTTGGTCGCATATGGACAATTTTAGTCCAGAAGAATTGGCACCTGGATCCTAAACAAATATATCTGGAAATAAGTCTCAATAATCTGACTGAACCAAATATAAGTTTAGAGTGTAGCCTGAAAGTTCCTGAATATGGGCCAAGACCCATTTTTAGTTTTCTCTTATGGAGTAATGATTAGGTTTTCTATTTCCTTAAATGAAATTCTAATACTATGTGTAGTTTTTGCTTCACTGCTTGTATGACTTGTCTTTGAGCCGTTTCTTTCCTTCTTGCCATGTAATATTGTGCTTAATTTTTATTTTGCATGTTACTTCCAACAAAACAGGTATCTTCAGTTGGTGGCTCCTCTTATTTTATATAAACAATCCAATTTGGATGCCTTTGGTTCTGTGATTGAGTCCATACCAATGCCAGCTGACTATTCCTTTCATTCATTCTGCTTTCAAGAGATTCTGTACCAGTGCCAATTTTATTATACTGCTGATTATGTTTTACTTTCCAGGTATAGATATTTTAGTGGAACAAATACACAATTGTAGCTCATTTTGAATTGCTTACTCTCCAGAGAATACCCACTCTGTGATTTTTTTCTTTGTTGGAGTGGTTGGCAAAGTCAAAACTGGAGTGTGCCCTCTCCTCACTTGTAAAGGTTTTTTGATTAGTGACTAATGCAGTTTTTGTTCCTAAGAAATAATAATTGTTTGTCAAGTTATACTTCATTTTATGTGAAAAGTATTTGACAATTGAACTTCTTTGTGTTTCCTTGATGAATAAATGTACTCAGTTGGAAATCTTATAGCTTAACATGGTCTCAGTCATATGCTGAATAACTTGGAAAACACATTAACCCAATTTTCACAACAAGCTCTGGGAAAAGGCCCTCCCCCATCTCCATAACTGTGAAAGTCTTAATTTTCCTGGAGTTCATATTTAGACCCAGCAGTCATGGATGGTGGCCTCCAGGGTCTTTAAATAAACAACAAAGATGCTTCTGGGCTGTCTGTTCTCTCAGGATTGGATATGGAGGGAATTTGCCTGCTGGGACGGCATTTCATTGAGTTGAGAAGCTGGCTATATTCTTTGAGTTTTCTTCTGATTGGTTTTTGCCAGCTGT